ACTGGGAGGAGGGTAGAGAGAATAGTGCAACAATGAATGAATGGAAACCCAAAATCTCTGTAAATGTTTATGAAAATTAATAAAATATAATTATAGGGGAAAAAAAAATAAAAACAAGACGTGCTTACATAAATGGAGAAAATGTGAGGACAGTTTACTTGAAACCTATTTATGTATTTGTTTTATGTGTGGTATTAGCCTAAAAGTTGGCTTTTTGTAGCCATTACAGTTAGCCCCCTCTCTTCTCTGGCCACCTTACCAGCAGGCAGATGGTCTTGCAAATCACCAACAGATGTAGATAGGATAAGAGAAAGAGTGCTTCCCACACTGGGCAATAATACTTGAGGAGAGCAAGACTCGTAGTGGCAAGATTTTAAGGGAGACCCCGGTGACGGTGGTGGAGACTGTGGCATTGCTTTGGAGATGCTGTGGCAAGGTGTGACCCCAGAGGAAATTCCATTTAATGAGCAGTGGTGGAGCATATGCATTGAGGACTAACAGGGCTGATTAGAAGCTCATTGTCATATCCTCTCATATCTATGTCCAGGGGGCAAAATAATGATTTCTGTTGTTTATCTCACCAGAATCTTATCATCGAAGGGATTGCTTTGTTTTAAACCATTTTTTAGAAAATCTCACCGAGATTTTCTCCTCTCCAAGCTGTATAATAATGTTTCTGGTATTCTTTAGGCATCTGGTATAATGAATTACTTACTACTTTGTCATTTCTTTAAGTTCCATTTTATGGAAATTTTTCTTAATGTTCTCCCAAAAGGAAAATTTTATGTTAAAGATCTGTGTAACTAAGAATTAACTCTTTGATCTTATGACTTCCTCAAGGGTTTGGCTTACATTTTACTTGCCCTTCAGTGTAAATGTCTAGTATAAAGGTATTCCTGAGCTAGTTGTAGTCAGTGTGCCACTGAGTATTTTTAATATGTGTTCATATCACTATCAGTATTCATTTTGGCAAACAGTGTTGACCACTGGACATAGGGTAGAAACCTTGACTAGAAGATGAAGACAGATGGAGAATAGTAAGGGAAACAGTGACTGGATTTAGGTTGTGCTTATATTTGAAAACTATTGATGTGATGAATATGAAAATGAGATCTTAGATTCCCAACTTCTTAGAGTGGATGAAAGTGGCAGTGGATTTAAGACTTGAAGAGAAGGTCAACCCTATTCCCAGCCATGCAGGAAGGGGCAGAGAAAGGTGCTTAGGAAAACAAGATAAAGTGACCACGAGACACTTGCTCACAGACTCTGGACAGGGCTTGTCCTCAAACTTGTGATGGCTTTTGGTTGCTGTTTTCCTAACCACTCTGGGAGTAGACACCTTGCCTCTGGTTCTTCCTCTGCTGTAGGGCATGGTGAGAGAGAGCTGAACTCATGGACACTGAGAATTTTCTGTGCCTTTGACAAAACTAGAAGTCATTGTGCCTGCAGTGAATTAATAGTAACTGGGAAGGAACAAGATTAAGCGGGCTCTAGATTCTTCTACATTAGATTGAGTTACAGGCCATAGATTCACCAGGTGCAAATTTCATTTCCATCAAAGATTCTTCCTGTTTGTTAAGAGACGGCTGGGTGTTTTGGAATGGGTTGGCTTCTGTAAATGTGACCTAGAAGGAATTAGATAATTATTTTTTAAATAAAATTTGCCTTTAATTTTATCTTTGTTTGTTTATTTGTTTCTGTAGCCAAAAGAAGATCCAGAGAGTGTCACTCCTCTTTGAAGATGATGCTGACAGTGGAAGCTTTTTGTTTGGTGCACCGTCCACATCCATTCTTTCTACCACGGTAGTATTCTTAGCCTCTTAGACCCAGGAGGTTATGGTGCAGATTTCCTGAATCCAGTTTTAAAACTTGACTTGAAGTCTGAGTCATATAGAACAATTGACTACTGAAGGTGGACAGTGTTTGATGGAGCTCCCAGTTTAAGACAGGTTTAGATGCAGAAGTGGCCCCACTTCCTAAACCACATGCCTCTGTAAACTCTTTGAAGTGGAAGAAATGATGATAGGTATAGAAAGGCTTCAGGCTTTTTGTTTATAAGGTTGCTATGAGCTGTGCTTGACTTGACGGCATTAAACAATAACATCTAAAAAAGCATTTAGTCACCAGTTTGGGGCTGGAATCCATATTGGGAAGTCATCTGAAGCAGCCGGATTCTATAGAGGTTTGTTTTCTAGATCTGGTGAGGATTAGGGTGGAATGATTACTCACCATTGGGTGAGAGTTAATTGTACTTGACCTCCAATTGGAAAAGAAATTTTGGTCAAACATTCTTCTAAGTGGTATAGCACTGGCCTGTCCATTTGCTCTACAGAGGTAACTCGTGGTGGCTATGATGCTAAACACTGTGACACTGATATGTCATATGCAATAAGGGTTACCTATGGTGGACAGTGTTTGGTGAAGCTCCTCCATTAAAACAAGGTTGGAAGTAGGAGTGGCATCCACTTCCGAAATTGCTTGCCTCCGGAAACCCTATGAACTTGGAGAAACAATGAAAGTTACACAAGTGTTCAGATCTTTCATTCATAGGGTCACCATGAGTCATCTACGAAGTGACAACACTTAACAATAACAACAACAACAACAGTATAGAAAGAGAAGTGGCAATGTATTCTATAGATGAAATGAAGCCTGGAGGACAAATTGCCTCTGTGATATACGGCCATCCAGTCTCATAGATGGGAAAATGGAGTCTAGAGTTTCAGAGGAGAAACTCAAGGAAATTTCCAGGCTATTAGCTTGTCTGCCCTGCTGGTATAATACTAGTTTTGTTTAAGGCACAAATTAGGCATTTTAGGCTCACGATTCAAGTAGTAGTGCTTCAGTCCTAATTTCTATAAGTAGCCTTTCAGTGATTTCTTAGTCTTAATGTTATTGAAGTCTGAATTACATTGCTACCACAGATCACTTAAATGAAGAAAATTCTGTTATCCTTGCTATTCAAAACAAAATACATATGTGGGTTGTTTTTTCATTGACTCCCAACTTACGGGCCTGTCATGTAAGTCATAGATCTGTGATCTCTGCATTTGTAATGACTAATTTTTTTGAACATTGATTATTAGACCTTTCTTCTCTGACATCTCTAGGTGAACCTGAACCTCCATTCTTTCAATTAGCAGTTGAGTGTATTAATTATTCCTACCTAGATATTCCCATCCTTGATTTTAGTTGTTGTTTGTTGTTATGTGCCGTCGAGTCGTTTGCGACTCATAGCGACCCTATGTACAACAGCCCTAAACCGTGCTCTATCCTGTGCCAATCTCA